GCAATGGCGCGATCTCGGCTCACCGCAACCTCCGCCTCCTGGGTTCAGGCAATTCTCCTGCCTCAGCCTCCTGAGTAGCTGGAATTACAGGCACGCACCACCATGCCCAGCTAATTTTTTGTAGTTTTTAGTAGAGACGGGGTTTCACCATGTTGACCAGGATGGTCTCGATCTCTTGACCTCGTGATCCACCCGCCTCGGCCTCCCAAAGTGCTGGGATTACAGGCTTGAGCCACCGCGCCCGGCCCTGGATTTTAAAATTCTTTTTTAACCTTAGAGACATCAGAATTATATTACTCATTATTCTTGGTTCCTAATAGCATTGGTTCATACATGTTCTGCTTTTATTTACATATTAGCTCTTTACCTTTAACAATATAGTAAGCCCCTATAAACCCAGCTCCTACGTTGTAGGCTATCCAGGATCTCCTCCCCAATCCCATCCCATCCCCAAGCTCCTCTTCCTTATGTGACATAGCCATCATTCTGGATTTCATATTCATCATTCTTTGCTTTTTGTTTTATATAATTTTCATGACTTTATGTATATTCCTAAATGTATGTGTGTGTTTACTTTCAACTTTTAAAAAGGGTGCCATACTGTATATAATCTTTTGGGGTTTACAGTTTTTGCTTATTATTGTTATGATTTCTCTATATTGTGGGTCACTGAAGTTCATTCTTTTTGAATGCCATTTATGTTATAAGAAATATCAAAGTTTATTCATCCAGTGTCCTGTTGCTAGTTATGCAGATTGCTTTCAGGTTCTTGTGAACTATGAAACAGTAAATAAAGACCAACTAGATAATTTTCTTAAAATTAATAACAAAAAAATGTAAAATATTAAATAGTAATGTTTAAAGTGGAAGTATAAATCCCCTTGTCATCATATTCCCAGAGATAACCAGTGTTAAAATTTGAGATATCTCTTTACTATCTTCTTTAAAATATAATGTATATCTGCATAAACATATTATATGTGTATATATATATATATAATATACACATTAATTTTTTAAAACAAAAATGACATCTACAACTTGCCGTTTCCATAGCAATATATTATGGATATCATTACTTGTCAATATGTAGAGATGCACTTTATCCTTTTTTTTCTTTTTTTTTTGTGATGGAGTTTGCTCTTGTTGCCCAGGCTAGAGTGCAATGGCACGATCTCTGCTCACTGCAAGCTCCTCCCCGCCGGGTTCAAGCAATTCTCCTGCCCCAGCTTTCTGAGTAGCTGGGATTACAGGGGTGTGCCACCACGCCCTGCTAATTTTGTATTTTCAGTAGAGATGGGGTTTCTCCAAGCTGGTCAGGCTGGTCTCGAGCTCCCGACCTCAGGTGATCCTCCAGCCTCGGCCTCCCAAAGTGCTGGAATTATAGGCATGAGCCACCGCGCCCAGCCACACTTTATCCTCTTTAACAGTTCTTTGGTGTTTCACTGTCGACGTGTCAATATTTATTCCCTAAACCCCCAGTGTTGGTTATTTTCAATTTTTTACTATTATAAACAATGTTGTAATGCAGATTCTTGTATATACATCTTTGGGCATTTTCTTATTTCCTTAAGATAATTTCCTAGAACTGAAATTCCTGGATTGAAGGATGTGAAGTTTTATTTTTATCTGTCTTCAACTCTATTTATTTATTGCTGCATATTGCCAGATTGCCCACCAAAAATCAATTAATAATTTACATTCTTGCCATCATAGTATAGTGCTCCAGGCCAGAAATACCTAGTCTAACCTGAAGTTCAAGAGCAACTTCTTGGAAGAGGTGACCCTCGGTCCAAGTCATGGTGAGAATTTATCAAGCCTTCAAAAGACCACATAAATAATCAACAGGGAGCCCAGATCAGAGAGTGCTCAGCCTGGGTTCCCCAACTGTGCTTGTATCTGCACTCACCAACACTAGGCATCATTGGCATGTTAAAGCTTAGCCAAATAGAATTGCTCTTTGTCTTTTTTTTTTTTTTTCAACTTTTACTTATTCTCAGGATGATTTCATAATCCATTTCCTGGTTTAAAGGAAACAGGAAGAATGGCTACTGAGAGTACTCCCTCAGAGATCATAGAAAGAGAACGAAAAAAGTTGCTTGAAATCCTCCAACATGATCTTGATTCTATCTTAGACACGTTAACCTCTCGGAGGTTGATTTCTGAGGAAGAGTATGAGGCTCTGGAGAATGTTACAGATCTCCTGAAGAAAAGCCGAAAGCTGCTAATTTTGGTACAGAAAAAGGGAGAAGTGACCTGTGAGCATTTTCTCAAGTGTTTATTTAGTACTTTTCCACAGTCGGCTGCTGTTTCCGGCTTAAGGCATGGTAAGTTAACTTTATATACTTTTTGGGGTGAGAGGGAGGGGGCAGACTTTCTGAAAAAGAAAGAAAAATGTTGCCTTTTATTTTTGTTAGTCTTTTCTCCAGAAATGATTTCTATTGAAATATGAGAGTGAAACACTGTCTGGAATTTTAAAAGTTTCTGAAATTTAACATCTTATTGGTTTAAGAAATTGATAATTTGTTTTTCAGACTGTGCTCAAAACTTGCAGTTGTTTTAACGCTGACATACGCTGCTCATCATTCTGGCAGTGACATGCTGATACCTCACAGTTGGAAGGAAAATAATAACAATAACACAATCCAGTGTTTGTTTTTCAAGTAGATGAATTCACGGGTATTAACAGTGCCAAGACCACAAGCTGTATCTTTCACTTAGTATAGCCATTTTGAAAATACAAGGAAAATAATTTTTTTTCCAAAGTGCTGGGATTACAGGCGTGAGGAGCTTCTCTCTTGTTACCCAGGCTGGAGTGCAATGGCGCGATCTCGGCTTACCACAACCTCCGCCTCCTGGGTTCAGGCAATTCTCCTGCCTCAGCCTCCTGAGTAGCTGGGACTACAGGCACGCGCCACCATGCCCAGCTAATTTTTTGTATTTTTAGTAGAGACGGGGTTTCACCATGTTGACCAGGATGGTCTCAATCTCTTGACTTCATGATCCACCCGCCTCGGCCTCCCAAAGTGCTGGGATTACAGGCGTGAGCCACCGCGCCCGGCCTAGAAAATAATTTTTAACACATAGATGGCAGATCAATAGTTTTGTTTTTTTGGTGATAAGAATGCCAGCAGCAGCTGTTTTCTAGAGCAATTCAATTGCTAATTCTTAAATGGTTCAAAGATAACTAGTAGCGCTTGAAAGAGCAATTCTTCCAGTTGTTTAGCAATTCTGTAAATTACTAGGGACAGGTGTAGCAATTCTGTAAATTACTAGGGACAGGTGTAGCTCCTTTTCTAGAAATCTAAAAAAATAAAATTCAAGATTATTTTAAGGGATGTTAGAGAGGTAGAGTCTCAGATTAAAAAAAGTAAATGTGTTTTTGTTTTTAATTTTCTTTTCTTTTTAAAATTAATTTATTATACTTTAGGTTCAGGGTACATGTGCAGAACATGCAGGTTTGTTACATAAGTATAAAAAAAAGTGAATGTTAATGATACCTAATGTAGGACAAGACTCATATGCTTAGAAAAATGGTTTTTTGTTATTTCTAAAGCACACTATTCCAAATTAGAGCCATTTGCTTACTCATTAGAAATTATTTGTGATCAGATTTCACTAGCATTGGCCCCAGGAAACCTGAGTCTATTGTGAGTCACAGTAAGTTCACAAGTAAACACTCCTTCATACAATTCAAATTGTCTGTTTTACTCACTTATTCTGTAAGGTTGCTAGGCTGGACTCAAATTTTAAACAAGACAATGATGTGATCTGATATTTTTTAGTGGGAAAAAGAAAGTTCTGAAGGTGATTTGTTGACATGCAAGTTATATAGGAGGTGTTAGGTATTCCTGTCCTCCAGTGAAGTAAAGAAGAAGGATGATGCTTTGAGGCCTCAGGAACTTCAGTTCCTTTTTATTAATTGGGAAAAATGATTTTTTTCTGTTATTTGCGGAATTTTTAAAACATGAGAATGTAGTACCTTCTTCAATCTATGGGGGCAAGCAAGAATTCAGAAGATGCTTTTTCTCCTGGAAAAAAACAGCCTGAGGCTCCTAAGATCACAGTGTCCTTCAATGAGAAGGGACACTTGGATTTGGAAACCTCTGAGTTTTTCAGGGGCAGGAAAACTAGTTATAGGAAAATGGCTTTGCCCACCAGGGAGAATGAGAAGGAATATGACACACCAGAAGTCACATTACCATATTCAGTTGAGAAAGTTGGTTATGAAGTTCCAGCAACTATTACATATAGAAAGGATGGACAGAGATATGAGGAGCTAAATGATTCTTTATACTTAGGAAAAGAAGAATATCTAGGATCTGTTGACTCCCCTGAAGATGCAGAAGCCACTGTGGAAGAGGAGGATTATGATGATCCAGAGCACACTGGGTATGATGGTGACGAGGACTTCAAGTATTCAGAAACCACAGAGTTCTCTGGTGAAGAACCAAGTTATGAGGATTCACAAATCAGCCTTTCACTGGAGGAGGAACAGGAGAAAAGTATGGAAGGTATGGAAATATCATGTACAGTTAGGCAACAATAAGTTAATAAGCTTGCCATGACGTAATGGGGATAGGGGTATGAAGAAGGCACCGATATCAGCAGAAAATCAGCTACTAAGAAATTCCTTGTGCTTCTCTAACCTGGAGTCTCCTCGAGGTAAGTGTTAACTTAAAGGAGCTCCTAGGGCCTAAGAAGTGATGGACAGCATAAGCAAAAGCAAATATTGATTGTCAGCTTGTAAATTTCTGTAGTATGTACAAGGAGTTGCTAATCATTAATTTTAGGCTAACCTCCTATTCCTCAGGTTAAACCACTTTAGTCATTTTAGTGCCTTTGTGACCAGAGAGATGTGGGGATTATGGGTTTGACTATTTAAGTGAAAACAGTCAGTAGAGGAATTTGTGCTAAATGGCTCAGCTACTAAAATATTGTTACTTAGTTTGATCCAGTCCACATAATGCCATCTTGATGAGAATTATGTTTGTATCTTGAATATGAATATTTCTTTATTAAAAAAAATTTTTTGAGACAGGGTCTCAGGCTAGAGTGCAGTGGCACAATCATAACTGATTACAGCCTCTACCCCCCAGGCTCAGGTGATCCTGAAACCTCAGCCTCCTGAGTAGCTAGGATTACAAGTGGGAGCCACCATGCCTGGCTAATTTTGTATTTTGTAAAGGCTGGGTTTTGCCATGTTGCTCAGGCTGGTCTCGAACTCCTGGGCTCAAGTGATCTGCCCATCTTGGCCACCCAAAGTGCTGGGATTACAGGTGTGAGCCACTGCACCTGGCCAAATCTGAATATTTCTTAATGAAAAATCAAAATATGAGGAGCGTTTCATTGGAGAGATATTGTCTGGGAAAATAAACATCACCAACTTCTGAGTAAAGGATGAAAATGTAACTACCATCTCATATTCAGTTCAGATCTTAGAGGCTCACAATCCATTTATGGGTAGAAAGAGAGTCATTTCTTCCTCATCACATCTTGTATTCGTTTGTGAAGGATGTTGTAACAAAATGCCACAAAGTAGGTGGCTTAAATGATAAACACAAATTTCTTGTCTTACTCTTTTGGAGGCTAGAAATCTGAAATCAAAGTAGTAACAGAATTGGTTCCTTTTTTTTTTTTTTTTTTTTTGAGACAATCTCGCTCTGTCACCCAATGGCATAACCTCGGTTCACTGTAACCTCCGCCTCCGAGGTTCAAGAAATTCTCCTGCCTGATTACAGGAGCACACCACCACGCCGGGCTAATTTTAGTAGAGATGGGGTTTCACCATGTTGGCCAGGCTGATCTCGAACTCTTAACCTCAAGTAATCCACTCGCCTTGGCCTCCCAAAGTGCTGAGATTACAGGCGTGAGCCACTGTGCCTGGCCTAGGGTTGTTCCTTCTGAAGGGTTTGAAGAAGAATCTATTCCTAGCTTCCCTAGTGTGTGTGTGTTTTGTGTGTGTGTGTGAGACGGTGTCTTGCTATGTTGCCCAGGCTGGAGTGCAGTGGCTATTCACAGGCGCAATCCCACTACTGATCAGCACCAGAGTTTTGACCTGCCCCATTTCTGACTTGGGCCGGTTCACCCCTCCTTAGGCAACCTGGTGGTCCCCCGCTCCGGGGAGGTCACCATATTGACGCTGAACTTAATGTGGACACATGATTGGCATAGCGCACTACAGCCCAGAACTCCTGGGCTCAAGCAATCCTCCCACCTCAGCCTCCTGAGTAGCTGGGACTACAGGCATGCGCCACTGCGCCCAGGTTTCCTGGTGGTTTGCTGGAAATCGTTGGCCCTCCTTGTCTTGTGCAAGCACCCTCTGATATGCTTTCACCTTCAAATGGCCTTGTCCCTGAGTGTGCGTCCCTTTGGCCAAGTTCCTCTTTAAAAAAGGACACCAGTCATATTGATTGGGCTAGGGCCCACCCTAATAACATTATTAAAACTAATTACATCTTCAATGGCCCTATGTACAAATAACACCACATTCTGAGGTACTGGGGATTAGGATTTTAACACAGGAATTTTGTGAGGACATAATTCAACCCATGCTTCTTGCCCCACCCCAAATAACTTCTAATACATGATTATTTTGGGGCCCCATTCTTAATTTTTATTTATTTATTTATTTTAGTTGCATAGGGTTGAATTAATTAATTGCACCTATTTTAGGTGCATAGGGTTGAATTAATAATTCATTGCATAGTATCAAATTATTCCACAAAAATCACCTGTTTATTCTGTTTTTTTTCTCCATTTCCCATTCACCTTCTTCCATAGGTAACATTCTAATATTACAGTGTGTCTCTTAATGTTGTTTTGTTTTCATGATTTTTTTTTTTTTTCTGTATCAGGTACTGACTGGGTTTCACCATGTTGCCCAAGCTGTTCTCGAACTCCTGGCCTCAATAGTGCTATATAACAAATGATCTCAAAATTCAGTCACTTCAAACACTGAGAGTTTATTATTGCTCACATGTCTATGGTTGGCTGGGCAGTTCTTTTGGTGTTCCCTGGGTTCACTCACACATCTGTTAATGAGGTGGTTGAAGGCTGGTCTCTCATCTTCTGGCAGACTACTCTGGGCTTATTCTCAGAATAGATGCAGTTTTTTCTTTTCCTTTTTCTTTTCCTTTTTTTTTTTTTTTTGAGATGGAGGCTTACTCTGTTGCCCAGGCTGGATCCAGTGTAATCGTGTGATCTCTGCTCACTGCAACCTCTGCCTCCCAGGTTCAAGCTATTCTTCCTGCCTCAGCCTCCCGGGTAGCTGGGATTACAAGTGCCTATCATCACACCCAGCTAATTTTTGTGTTTTTAGTAGAGACGTGGTTTCACCATATTGGCCAGGCTGGTCTCGAACTCTTGACCTCAGGTGACCTGCCCTCCTTGGCCTCCCAAAGTGCTGGGATTATAGGCATGAGCCACTGCACCCAGACAAGCATATTTTTATGATAAGTGGAAAGGAGAGAGAGCAAGGCAGAGGAAGACAGAGAAGTAGTGAAGACTTTTTGAGTCTCAGCTTTAGAGGGATCATGCTATCTATGCCATCTGTATTAGTTTCCTAGGGCTGCTGTAACAAAGTACCACAAATGAGTGGCTTTAGAACAACAAAAATTTATTTTCTCACAGTTCAGGAGGCCAAAAGCCTCATACCAAGGTATCAGCAGGGTCATGCTCCCTCTGGAGGTGCTAGGAAAGGATTTGTCTCAGGCCTCTCTCCTAGCTCCTGGTAACTTGTGCATTCCTTGACTTACAGTTGGTCATTTTCTCCCTGTGTCTCTTTACATCATCCACCCTCTGTGCATGTCTCTGTGTCTAAATTTTTCCTTTTTATTAAGACACCAATGATATTGATTTAGGGCCCACACAATGACTTACTTTAACTTAATGACCTCTTTAAAAATAAAGATGCTATTTACAAAATAAGGCCACATTCTGCAGTACTGGGGGACTTCATATCTTTTTGAAGTGGACAAAATTCAACCCATAACAGCATTACATCTGCCACATTCTGTTGACCAAAGCAAGTCTCAAAGCCAGCCCAGGTTTAGTGTTGGGGGAAAACAAGTTCTATTTCCTGCAAAGTAAGATAGCAAAGACTATGGATACCAGAAAGCCATTAATTGGGGACATTATTGCAATCAATCTAACGTCTTTAGCAAAACACATCAAGAGAAGTCTTAATAATAATGAAGTTATGATCTGCAATGTAATTCTGATGGCTACCCATTCACTCTAGCTGACTTGGAGGCATGTGGCTATTCTTTGTTTCTTTCCCAAGTAATATTTCTCTGTACAGCTGAGAACTGAAAAAAAAAAAAAAAAAAAAAAGTTATAACTCAAAGAAAGGTCTTCATGCTTTCTGTCATGCGAAATTTTATGTAAAAATATTTACAGTGTCAAAGTCTCAGAAAGGCTCAAACTATTGCCTTGTGTGCTGTGCACTATAGAAGGTCAGCTTGCATAGACAGTATCAATTGACTCTCTTCCCCCTCCAGCTTGTAGTTAGGTTCAACCATGGGTAGAACCAATGTGATACCATTCCCTGTAGCCTGTTTTCATAAAAATCCAGGTTTTCATTTTATATTATTTTCCTTTAGCCTGAAAAATTTATTTATTGTTTCTCTTAGTACAAGTCTGCTGGTGGTAAATTTTCTTGGTTTTTGTTTATTGAAAGATGTTTTTATTTTGCCTTCATTCCGGAAGGATGATTTTGCTGGATATAAGATTCCACAACTTTTGCTTTTAACACGTTATGGATGCCATTCCTCTGTCTTTTAGCTTCCATTGTTTCTGATGCTAAATTTTCAGTCATTTTATCATTGATCCTCTCTAAGTGCTGTGTCATTTATCCCTGGTTGTTTTCAAGATTTTTTTCTTTTTTTTTTGAGCAGTTGACTCTCATGTGTCTAAGTGTGATTTTTTCTCTCTCTCTCTTCCTTAGTATTTGCAGAGTTTCCTGAATGTATATTAAAAAAAAAAACTTCTTATCAAATTTGGAAACTTTTCAGCTGTTATTTACCAATATTTTTTTCTTTCTCACTTCTTTTCTCTCTTTCTGAGACTTCAAGTACATGAATTTTAGAGTTTTAAAAATATTGTTCTACAGGCTCCAGAGACTGCTCATCTTTCTTTAATATTTTTTCTCTCTGTTCTTCAGGTTAGATATTTACTTTCTTCTGTCATCTCCAATTTGTTTTTAGCCCATCTAGTGATTTTAAACAAATTCACATATTGTGATTTTTAATTCCAGAATTTCCTGTTTAAAAATACTTTCTTTTTTTTTTTTTTTTTTTTTTTTTAGAGAATTCCTATTTAATCATTCATTGTGGACTTATTTAATTATAATTTTTTTTTTTGAGACAGAGTCTTGCTGTGTTGCTCAGGCTGGTGTGCAGTGGCACAGTCTTGGTTTACTGCAGCCTCAACCTCCCAAGCTGAGGCTCAAGCCATCCTCTCACCTCAGCCTCTCAAGTAGCTGGGATTATAGGTGCACACCACCATGCCTGGTTAATTTTTGTAGAGACAAGGTTTTCATAATGTTGCTCAGGCTGGTCTTGAACTCCTGCGCTCAAGTGATCCTCCTTCATCAGCCTTCCACAGTTTTGGAATTACAGGCATGAGCTACCATGCCTGACCGTAATATTCCTATGTGCTAAATCTAACATCTGGATCATTTTGGAGTCAATGTCCATTGAATATGAATTACATTTCCTACTTCTTCCTATGTCTATTAGCTTTGGATTGTGTTCCATCCATTGTGTATAATAGGTCATACAGGCTCTAGATTTTTTATTTCTCCTAAGAGTCTGAATGTTATTTTGGTCTGTTTTTGTCTCCAATTAACCCGACTGTACTCAAATTCAAAATTCAAACTCCGTTTCCATGGGTGGCAGCTGAAATCTCTGTTTATTTCTTTTTACCTTAGCTGAGTTATTTTTATGAATTTTTAATTTACGAAATTGAGATTAGTTTCGTGATATTATTGCTTACTTTTTTCACCGAGCTCTGTGCTTAGTTAGATACGTCTCTGTTTTGGGTGTACATCTACTCTGTTGCTTTGATCTGCTACATAGTGACACTGTTACTACCTTGTCGACACACCTGGCTTGGTTCCTGTGGGTACTGATGTTTTTCCTTTTTTTGTTTTTTTAAATTTTATTTATTTATTTATTTTTAAAGATGAGGTCTCACCATATTGGTCAGGCTGGTCTTGAACTCCCGACCTCAGGTGATCCGCCCACCTTGGCCTCCAAAGTGCTTGAATTACAGGCGTGAGCCACCGCGCCTGGCCTGGTACTGATGTTTTTCTTTCTTTTTCTTTTTCTTTTTCTTTTTTTGAGATGACAGGCTGGAGTACAGTGGCACAATCTTGGCTCACTGCAACCTCCACCTCCTGGGTTCAAGCAATTCTCCTGCCTCAGCCTCCCAAGTAGCTGGGACTACAGGCACCCACCACCATGCCAAGCTAATTTTTGTATTTTTAGTAGAGACAAGGTGTCACTGTTTTGGCCAGGCTGGGATTATAGGTGTGAGCCACCGCACCCAGCCATGGGTACCAATTTCTGTGCTGAAGAAGTAGAGAATTGTTTTCCTAAGGCAAAGTATGAGACAGGAAAAAGCAGAACTTAAAAGCTGTCCTGCAACCTATTCTCTCACTGCTTCCTCTGGGAACTCTTCATTCTAGATTCAACTTCCCTCTTATCTTTTTGACCCAACACATATGCCAGTTCAAGTAACTTTGAGACTACCCAAAGACTTTGTATAGTTACTTTTATTAATTCCTAAAATCCATGCTTTTCTCCTCTGTTGTTTCTTCAAGGCCCTTTTTAAGGGTAGTTTTACATTTTTATGCTAGCTGGCCATCTGTCAGGAGTAAAAATCCACTCTGATATTCTCTCTCTATTATGCACTATCTCTGTATTTATAAAAAGTAGGTAGGCCAGCCAGGGTGGCTTATGCCTATAATCCCAATATTTTGGGAGGCTGAGGCCAGTAGATTAATTGAGGCCAGGAGTTTGAGACCAGCCTGGGCAAAATGGTGAAACTGTGTCTCTACAAAATGAAGAAATGAAAAGGTAGGTGGGTTGGTGGTGTGCACTTGTGGTCCCAGCTACTCCAGCAGCTGAGGCAGAAGGATCACTTGAGCCCAGGAAGTTGAGACTGCAGTGAGCAGAGATTGTGCCACTGCACTTCAGCCTAGGTGACAGAACAAGACCCTGTCTCAAAAACAACAACAAAAGAAGTAGTTAGAAGATATATTGGAAAATGGGAGATCAGGAAAAATTAGGGATAGCATGTAAATTCTGAGAAAAACTTTGAAGGAAATAAAATCTTCAGTTCCTCTAAACTTCAGCAAGAGAGAAATTTAAGAAAGAATGAAGCTGGGTGCGGTGGCTCATACCTGTAATCCTAGCACTTTGGGAGGCTGAGGTGAGTGGATCACCTGAGGTCAGTAGTTCAAAACCAGCCTGGCCAACATAGTGAAACCCCATCTTTAAAAAAAAAAGAAAGGAAAAAACCAGTATCAACCTAGATTAATCCTCATAGATACATATAATTTAATATTAACAAGATTTTTCATTGCTGCATGTAAATGTTAGCACATTTTTTTTAAAAAATTAAAAACTGAAATGATCATCCATAGGCAGTTTTTAAATAGTTATCATCTATCCAAACCATGGAGTGTCATGATTTAGCTAAAATGAATTAGGTAGACCAGTACATGTGCTGACTTGAAAGAATTTGCAAGGAATATCACTAAGTGAAAAGAGGCTGAAGAATCACTTGTTTGGTATAATATCATTTATGTAAAAAAAAAAAAAAAGAAAGATAGCATGGACTGGGTGGTGGCTCACGCCTGTAATCCCAGCACTTTGGCAGGCTAAGGCAGGTGGATTACTTGAGATTGGGCGTTCAAGACCAGCCTGGCCAAAATAGTGAAATTTATCTCTACAAAAATTAGCTGGGCATGGTGGCACACGCCTATAATCCCAGCTACTTGGGAGGCTGAGACTGGGAGAATTACTTGAACCCAGGAGGCGGAGGATACAGTGAGCCGAGATCTTGCCACTGCACTCCAGCCTGGGTGACAGAGTGAGACTACATCTCAAAAAAAAAAAAAAAAAGTAGCATCTGCTAAGTAAAACTATGTATTTCTATATATGTGTGCATACTTACATGCTTGCATAGAAAATGGTTGGGAAGCAAATATGCTGTAGTATATTGACATATCCCCTAAAAAGAAGTGGACTTGCCAGAATGGTGAAAGGAGACTTTCACCTTATTTATATTGTTTCAGCTTTTGCAGTGAAAATGTAGATTAGATAAGGTGTAGTGGCTTATGCCTGTAATCCCAGCACTTTGGGAATCTGAGGTAGCCTGATCACTTGAGATCAGGAGTTCAAGACCAGCCTGGCCAACATGATGAAATCCCACCTCTACTAAAAATACAAAAATTAGCTGGGCATGGTGGCACACACCTGTGGTTCCAGCTACTCAGGAGGCTGAGACAAGAGAATAGCTTGAACCCATGAGGCAGAGGTTGCAGTTAGCTGAGATCACTCCATTGCACTGCAGTCTGGGTGACAGTTTTCTTTCAAACTCTGTCTCAAAGAAAAAAAGAATGCAGATTACTTAATTTTAAAAGTCAGGCTGTGCACGGTGGCTCGTGCCTGTAATCCCCGCATTTGGGGAGGTTCGCTTGAGACTAAAAGTTCAAGATCAGCCTGGGCAACATAGCAAGACCCCATCTCTATTTAAAAAAAAAAATAGCCAGCCATGGTGGTGGGTGACTGTAGTCCCAGATACTTGGGAGGCTGAGATGGTAGGATCACTTGAGCCCAGGGTGATGATCACGCCCCTGCACTCCAGCCTGAGTGACAGTGTGAGACTGTCTCAAAAAAAGAAGTTGATGAGGGAAATTGAGATTCTGAACATGACATTCCCTATTATCTTCTCTCCTACAGAAAGAAAAAAGGTGTTTAAAGACGTCCTGTTACGTTTGAACATGGATAGAAGCAGAAAGGTTCTGCCAGGTTTTGTTAAACAGTTCTCCTTCGATCGAGGATGTAAGTGGACCCCGGAGAGTCCAGGAGACTTAGCCTGGAATTTCCTGATGAAAATTCAAGCACTAGATGTGACGGCCAGGGATTCAATCCTCAGGCACAAGGTTCTGGATGAAGGGAGCAAGGAGGATTTGCTTGCTGGAGTGGAGAATTTGGAAATTCAAGACACACGAACCATTAATCCCCTCGATGTCATTTGTGCCACCATGCTGTGTTCAGACAGCTCTCTGCAACGTCAAGTTATGTCAAACATGTATCAGTGCCAGTTTGCTCTTCCCCTGCTACTGCCAGATGCAGAAAACAACAAAAGCATCTTAATGCTGGGGGCCATGAAGGACATTGTGAAGAAGCAGTCAGCACAGTTTTCAGGAGGGCCTACAGGGGATTCAGAGAAGTTTCTGACTCTCATGAAGATGCCTGTCATCTCCTTTGTGCGTCTAGGATACTGTAGCTTCTCTAAGTCCAGAATCCTCAACACACTTCTCAGCCCTGCCCAGCTGAAATCACACAGAATCTTTCTCCATCAAGATTTGCCTCTTTTAGTGCTTCCCCGGCAAATCTCAGATGGCCTGATTGAGATAACGTGGTGTTTTCCCGATGGCGATGATCTAAAGGAAAACCTTAGTGTTTTCCAAAAGCCTGTTGCTCTGGCCAATCTCCGTGGAAATCTAGAAAGCTTTTGGACTCAGTTTGGCTTTTTGATGGAAGTTTCTTCAGCTGTGTTTTTTTTCACTGACTATCTAGGTGAGAAGGAATGGGACTTGCTAATGTTTTTAGGAGAAGCTGCCATTGAAAGATGCTACTTTGTTCTCAGTCCCCAAGCCAGGGAGAGTGAAGAGGCTCAGATTTTCCAGAGGATACTGAACTTGAAGCCAGCACAGCTACTGTTTTGGGAGGGGGAAGATGCTGGGGATAGAAGGAAGAACATAGAGGGCCTTCAAGCTGCTCTGCGGGAAGTGATGTTCTCTTCTTCACTCAGATATGTGTCTATGGAGGATATGGCCTCCCTGGCCAGGGAGCTCGGGATTCAGGTAGATGAAGACTTTGCAAACACTCAGAGAATTCAAATTTCCTCTGGAGAAAACATGGCTGGAACAGCTGAAGGTGAGAGTCAGCAAAGACACAGTCAGCTAAAAAGCTCATCTAAAAGCCAAGCTCTGATGCCAATACAAGAGCCTGGGACTCAATGTGAGCTCAGCCAGAATCTTCAGAATCTCTATGGTACCCCGGTATTCAGGCCTCATCTAGAGAACTCCTGGCCCTTACCAACCATAGTTGGAGGTAACTTTAACCATGTTTCCCTGAAAGCCCCCTGGGTTATGGATTGCCACTTTGGGTCAGAGCAGAGGTCTCAGTTGTTCTGTCCTTTGCCCTTTCAGAATGCAAGGGCCCAGGGCAGAGTTAAAAGTTTTGGTATTCAATCCTTCCATCCCCAGAGATTTTATTCAAGTGAAAGATTCATGAAATTTTCCAGAGCTGCTCAGGGACGTTACTCAAACAGAACATTTGTGAGACCTCCAAGACCCATTTCTCAGCGTGTACAGGCCTGTCCTGAGAGACGACAAATGATGGGAACTCTTGAAAGGTATTGGGCAGTAGTCTCCCAGGGAGCTCACTCCTGTTCCCTGGGCTCACAGCCAGCAAGAGCAGTAGGGAAGCCACGGCCTCAGCAAGCCTGCACTGGGGGAACACAGCTAACTGAAGCAACTGGAAAACCAATGGGAACATCCCATATTGAAAAGCCTCACCCTCAGTCCTTTCAGCTAGCAGGAGCCACACAAAAACTAAGACCTGCTTCTCAGCAAGGAGCCCAGAAGAAGACTCAGGGCAGGCCTTCAAATCCAGCTCTCCAAATAGGGTCCCATCCCATGTCCAAGAGCCCTCAGTTCAAATCTGATCAGTCCAGCCCATCCCAAGTCAAACACTCCCAGCCTAAACCCTTCCATCCTGTGCCCTCTCAACCTACACCCTCTCAACCGAAATCCTCTCAGTCCCAGCCCTCCCAAACTAAATCTTCTCCATGCAAATCCACTCAGTCTAAGCCAAGCCAGCCCCAGCCTCCCCAATCTAAGCCTTCTCAGCCCAGACCCACTCAATCTAAGTCATCCTCAACCAGTCCTTCACAAGCTAAGGCACATCACCCAAAAGCAGGGCCGAAGAGGGGAGGGACGCATTAAAGTGCTAACTCCAGAGATCTATAAAGCATATCCTTTACCCAGGCCATCCCTATTATATAGTAAGCAGAAGAATTGCCATGAAGGTAAGACTGCTGTCATCAGCATGTCAAACACAGAAAGATATGCATGACCAAATTGGATATCTTTAAGATATTTGTAAGAGTTATATTCTTAACCAAGAAGAAAAATATGAAAATAAGACTAGAATCAAGCAGTAGATAATTGAATCCAATCTTGAGTATTATTAGATAATATATAACTTGTATCCAGGGAATGGGGGTGTCTATGAGAGCCCCACTTGAAGAATAATGGAATTAGGGTCTCTGATTGCAAAGTGACTATAAAATAAGACTCAAGTTGCCTCTGTGTCTGAAAAAGTATCTTAGCTGTTGGCTGCTCCAGGGGTGTTTCTGGTTCAAAAGTCTCTGGTTCAATATCAGCCACTGAGCAGATAGATAGCCCTGCTTATTTGGTGTGGTTAAATCAACTAGCTTCTGCTAATAGCCCAATTTGCTTGGATGGTAAAACTCTCTCATTTGACCCTTATAGGTAGAAATAATGAACTAACAACCAATAAAATTAATTATTTTGCATTAACTTTGGGAAAGATCTATGTTTGTTTCATATTTGATATGGTTTGGCTCTGTCTCCACCCAGATCTTATCTTGAATTGTAATCCCCATGTGTTGAGGGAGGGACCAGGGACCCGGTGGGAGGTGATTGGATTATGGAGGCAGTTTTCCGCATGCTGTTCTTGTGATAGTGAGTGAGTTCTCACTAGACATGATTTTTTTTTTTTTTTTTTGGAGAAAGAATCTCACTCTGTCATCCAGGCTAGAGTGCAGGGGTGTGATCTTGGCTTACTGCAACTTCCACCTCTCAGGTTCAAGCAATTTTCCTGTGTCAGCCTTCCAAGTAGCTGGAATTACAGGCATCTGCCACCACGCCTAGCTAATTTTTGTATTTTTAGTAGAGATGCAGTTTCACCATGTTGGCCAGGCTAGTCTCAGATCCCTGCCCTTAAGTGATCCACCTGCCTTGGCTTCCCATACTGCTGGGATTACAGGCATGAGCCACCAGGTCCAGCTGAGATCTGATGGTTTAAAAGTGTGGCACTTACCCCCTTGTTCTCTCTGCCTTCTGTCACCATGTAAGACATACCTTGCTTCCTCTTCACCTTCTGTAATGATTGCAAGCTTCCTGAGGCCTCCCAAGCCATGCGGAACTGTGAGTCAATAACCTCTTTCCTTCATAAATTACCCAGTCTCAGGTAGTTCTTTATAGCAGTGTGAAAATACAATATTTTAAATATTTGTAATAGTTAAGGAAATTTGACTTATTAGAGGATCAAATTTAAAATATCATTGAGTTTTCAATTTTAGAGTTGTCTTTTTTTTTTTTTTTTTTTTTTTTTTTTTTAGAGATTCTCCCTCTTTCACCAGGCTGGAGTGCAGTGGCGCAATCTTGGCTCACTGCCACCTCTGCTCCAACTTCCTGGTTCAAGCAATTCTCCTGTCTCAGCCTCCCAAATAGCTGGGATTACAGGCTTGCACCACCACACCCAGCTAATTTTTGTGTTTTTAGTAGAAATGGGGTTTCACCATTTTGGCCAGGATGGTCTTGATCTCCTGACCTTGTGATCCATCTGCCTCCACCTCCCAAAGTGCTGGGATTACAGGCATGAGCCACCACGTCTGGCCCCCAGAGTTGTAATTTTTTTAAGTTAAAAGATAAGTTTACAAAGTTTACAGAAAACATCAAAATGTTAAAGAGAACTTAAGATTCACAGAATTTATACTTTTATTAGATTTATATTATTCTAAGCATTTGGATAAATTCTACTTGTTAGAGGCATTAAGGAAAAATAGTGCATTAAATTTAAAATATTTAAGTGACATTTAGTTAACTAGGTTTGCAAATGACACCAAATATGAATAAAAGGTCATTTTAGGAGTAGGCGTTAAAATTCACTAGATTAAGAATAAAATAATAAAGTTTATAAATTGAACTTAATTGTCTCAATTTTTGAATTGGTAACTTTAGTAAAATTAATATTAATTTAAAGCACTATAGTAGTCCCCAAATAGTTTTTTATGTGTAAAAAAAGTACATTCAAGTACATCAAAAAAAAAAAAGTAATACTGACAAATGAATGAGAGCTGGTCTTTGAAAGGGAATAAATTAATCCTTGAGAATGTTCTCATATCACAATAGATATCTTTCCTTTGTGCATGTACTAAAGAATCAATATTGAGTGTTTCCAGGTTTTTTTTTTTGAGACAGAGTCTCACTCTAACGCCTGGGCTTGGAGTGCAGTGGTGCAATCTCAGCTCACTACAACCTCTGCCTCCCAGGTTCAAGCGATTCTCCTGCCTCATCCTCCTGAGTACCTGGGACTACAGGCATGCACTATCATGCCTAGCTAATTTTTGTGTTTTTCAGTAGAGACGGTGTTTCACCACATTGGCCAGGCTGGTCTTGAACTCCTGACCTCAAGTGATCCGCCTGCCTTGGCCTCCTAGAGTGCTGGGATTACAGGTGTGAGCCACTGTACCTGGCCCTAACGGAAGTATTTTTAAAGGGCTGACCAACATATAGGAAAAGAAAATGCAAAGGAGAGTGCAGTACCCTGGGTATAGTAAAAGCACTCAGGAGAAAAAAGTACCTTCCCCAATCAGAAGAGCTGTACGGAAAGGGTCTTGGGTCTAGTTGGTTGAAGGATACTACAGTAAGTGACCTGCAGGAAATAAATATCTTCTCCCTACCTCTGGTCTGATGCTAGCGCATCCCCTTGGCCAAACCCAATCAGAAGTCAGAGGGTAAGGTGGGTAGCCCATCCAGGCAGCTCATATAGTGGACTACATGGGCTTTTAGGATTTAGAGCAGAATGGACAGTGGATTTGCAGGAGCAAGCAGAAGATATCTTGCAGATTCCTTCCTTTCCATCCCATTCTTCCTTCCTTTTCTCTTTTTTCTTTCTTTCTTCTCTCACATTTATTTATTGAGCATCTATAATATGCAAAGTATTGTACTAGGAACTGGGAAGACATGGAAACAGAATGAGAAATCACACTGTAGTTGTGACATTCTATAAATATCTATGTTCCCTCTTTATTATAAAATTACTTCATACAAGCGCATTATAGATAGTTTTGAAAATGCAGAAGTAAATAAGGCCAGGCGTGGCTGCTCACACCTGTAATCCCAGCACTTTGGAAGGCTGAGGTGGGGGAATTGCTTGAGCCCAGGCATTCAACAGCTTGAGCAACATAGTGAGACCCTGTCGCTACAGAAAAAAAACAAAAAGCCAGACATGGTGGAATGCCCCTGTGATCCCAGCTACTCCACAGCCTGAGCCCAGAAGGTCTAGGCTGCAGTGAGCTGTAACTCTGCCACTGCACTTCAGCTCAAGTGACAGTGAGACCCTGTCTCAAAAAAAAAAAAAAAAAAAAAAGAATTGAATTTTTAAAAAACAGTATAAAAATAACCTGTACTTTTTTTTGTTTTTTGTTTTGAGATGGGATCTCACTCTGTCACCCAGGCTGCAGTGCAATGTGCAATGGCACGATCTCACTTACTGCAACCTCCACTTCCCAGGTTCAAGCGATTCTTCCACCTCAGCCTCCTGAGTAGCTGGGATTACAGGCACCTGCCATCATACCTGGCTAATTTTTGTATTTTAAGTAGAGATGGGGTTTCACCATGTTGGCCAGGCTGGTTTTGAACTCCTGACTTCAAGTGATGCACCCGCCTTGGCCTCCCAGAGTGCTAGAATTATAGGCGTGAGCCACTGTGCCCGACCAACCTGTAGTCTTATAATGAAGAGTAACTAGCAATGTAGTCCCATTACTCATGAATAACATTTTCATGCACTCTCTCTCTCTCTAGATATATAAATTATATATATATATTTACAGGTAGCCAATTACATTTTTGAGTTTGTACTAGGGTTAAATGTGTCAAAGTCAAACATAGTGTTAGGAACGGACAGTATAGATAGTATGAAGTGTTGTTTTTTTCAGATGTATTAAGAAAATCTGGATTCAGCACATGAAATACATTTTAAGAGCATCATTGAGCATAAGCAGAAGTCCAATTATATTCAGTTAAACATGAAAAAACTCAAAAGTTGTTTGTAAGCCGGGCACGGTGGTTCATGCCTGTAATCCCAGCACTGTGGGAGGCTGAGGCGGGCAGATCATCTGAGGTCTGGAGTTCAAGATCAGCCTGGCCAACATGGTGAAACTCCATCTCTACTAAAACTACAAAAATCAGCTGGGCATTGTTGCTGTAGCCCGTAATCCCAGCTACTCAGGAGGCTGAGGCAGGAGAATCACTTGAACTCAGGAGGCGGAGGTTGCAGTGAACTGAGATTGCGCCACTGCACTATAGCTCCGGGGCCACAGAGCAAGACTATACCTCAGTCAGGCACGGTGGCTCATGCCTATAATCCCAGGACGCTGGGAGGCCGAGGCAGGTGGACCACAAGGTCAAGGAGTTGGAGATCAGCCTGGCCAACATGGTAAAACCCCGTCACTACTAAAAATACAAAATTAGCAGGGTGTGGCTGCACACACCTGTAGTGCCAGCTACTCAGGAAGCTGAGGCAGGAGAAGTGCTTGTACCCAGGAGGCAGAGGTTGCAGTGAGCCGAGACTGTGACACTGCACTCCAGCCTGGGAGACACAGGGAGACTCTGTCTCAAAAAAAATAAAAATAAAAAAAAGACTCCACCTCAAAACAAAAAACAAAACTTGTTTATATATATATATATATATTTTTTTTAAAGACGGGGTTTCACCATGTTGGTCAGGCTGGTCTTGAACTCCTGACCTCAGGTCATCCGCCTGCCTTGGCCTCCAAAGTGCTGGATTAAGGCGTGAGCCACCACGCCCAGCCATATATGTATTATTTACTACATTGAGAGCATTCAAGTTTGTACTTGACTGTTTTTGTAAGCAGATGCCACAGTCTACTCAATGATTTTACCACTTTCAACACCTGAAAATCCTATCTTCTTCTTTTTCTTGGTTTTTGTTTGTTTTTTGTAGAGATGAAGTCTCAATATATTGCCCAGGCTGGTTTCAAGCTCATGGGCTTAAGTGATACCTCTGCCTTGGCCTCCCAAAGTGCTGGGATTAAAGGCATGAGCTACCCTGCCCTGCCTGAAAATTCTGTCTTAAACATCTTAAATCCATTTACATTTTGTACAAGAAGGTAAGTAAAACTTGTCTTTTTAACATTTAAAAATTGTGTTCTTTGTTGAGATACTTGAAAGGCATGTACACCAATGTGATACAAAGACTGGGTGTTTTGGGACAAAGTTGCACATTTAATGAATCAAATTCACTTAATAAATCTAGGTTTTACCTGTATTCAGGTGATCTCCTGCATTTCCTATGTCTTTGAACTTTTCATAGTCTCTCTTGTGATTAAGATATAATCAACTTTCCAATGTTTGCTATATAGGATTCATGGAAAAAAGTATTTGGTGGGGAGGATAAACATGATTCTGACTGCCAATGGTTTAGTCTGACTTAATAAGCGAGATGGGATTTTTCCCTTGAGCTTGACCCCCTTGGTGGGCAGGAACTGGAG